TATTTAGTAGGACGCCATGTTGGATAAATGGCGTGGTTAGTTTTACCGCGCATGCGCGTAGCCGCGCAATCTCTTAGTCCGGATACCTTTTCGTTTTCCTGCGATCCTGATACCAGGAGCAAGATAAAAACACCATCCACTAGATGGCGCTGAAATTTTTATCGACCGACTTTTCACGATTACTACACACTGTTAAATAAGTACCGTCACAGTCGCGAGGAAAGCACAAGTATCTCGACTATGCCAAGTATTTTAACGCCATTCACCGTGCCTCTCGAGAGCGTCGATTACTTCATTTTCAGTTATTCAACCGTTTAGCATAAAAAGAGAATATTGAGAATTTGTATCAGGAGAGCATAAGTTATGAGGAGGTATCCTTCGTGCCATTTCTTTGAATTTTTATGGCGTCATTTTCAAGAATTCCCGTGGCGCGATTTTTGAAATTTCATCGACCGATTTTGAAAATTTGTATCAGAACTAATAATTAATTAATATCTAATATTTTACAAAGTTCAGTATAAGAAAAGTATCAACTTATTTTCCTCATATGATTTCCCCCGGGGAAAATCTACGACATACTGTATATTTCACATAAATTCTCATCAAAGCCTCCAAGTTCCCACGCTGCCGGTTGTTTTTTCAATTTCATTCAGAGAAAATAATACATATTCGATTATTTGTTGAACCAATAGCAACACTATTCCTGCTGATTCAAGACAATACAAATTGGATGATCGATTTGCTCGCGAATTACATAATGGAAATTTCTAGGCACTCAGTAACGAGGAAGCAGTTCCGAGCAACCTAACGTGACCTAACCCTCCGAGGATCTGTTACTTAACATATTACCATGGGAAAGTACGATTAATCGAAATTTTTATGGCTGTTTGGGACATCGGTGTAAGGGATGTGATAAATAGATACACGAAGACATTTTTCATTGGCTTTCAAGGACGATCATTAAATGAAGAGGAAAACGAGGTTTTACGAGATTTCAGCATCGCGCATTAGAGAGTTAAAGTGGGTCTTAAGTGATCGTAATGCCGGGGAATTAATACTGAAACATTTGCAGGAGAATCTTTTACTTTCAATTTTTCCATCCATCTTTTTGATTGATTTTGTGAATTATAACTAATCATATTATAATGGAGATACATGTCCGTAAGTTACACTGGAACGATGTAAACATTATCGAAAACAAGGCAGAAAAATATTATATCTGTACTCTTAAAACGATAATATAGTAAAATCCTTATGAAGGGACACTTTTTCAGGGATACATAAAAACTAATTAAGTCATCATTGTGCGTGCTTCGGCTACTTTTTCTTTGATTACTTTCTTTGTAAAAATTTACTGTGCATGTCTATCTTTCACGGTCTAAGACTACACAGGGGGTCAAGGTTAACTTCCCATAGCACGGAGCGCACAACTGCTTAGTAATTAAATGATTAAATAATAAGTTTAATTAAGTATGCACTGTATGAAAACTGATGAAAATAAAGAAAAATTTATCAACAATCATTGTGTATTTATTGTTACCTAACCACCGCAACAGAATAAAAATTTACATATTCATTTGATCCGAACACATCAAAATCTTCCGATTCCAAATTCCGAAATCCGGCCCCTTAATTCCAAAAATTATCCTGCCAAGTCCTCGCATATCATATTCTCCTGATACCAAATTCCGAAAACCGGTACCTGATTCCGAAAATCCTTCGTGCCACCTCCTCTTGTATCATGTTCTCCTGATACCAAATTCCGAAAAGCGGACCCTGATTCCG